ATCATATATCATCATTTGTTTAGTTTTGTTGCAATTTAAGACGAATAACAATGTGAATGGCCTAATTTAATCAACAATGAAACTTTTGATGTTAAAACTTGAAGTTAAGGATTCAATTTTTAATTTTCGGGCATGACGATGAAGAATGATATCCAACAAGTGAGAAAAACTATAACGTGGTGCATATACTTACTTCTAAATGATTTTTAATACGGAGTATATAGCATGGAGTTTTATTTATTTTTTCTTTTATTTTTTTGAGTGTGTGTGTTTAGAGAGCTAGCCATCAAAACTGGTGATAAGAATGAATCTAGGATCCTCTAAAATTAGGAGAAAAACTCTAATCAACTAAGCTATTCCTCACTTAATCTTCGAGTATAGATATAATTTATTAACTATTACTAAAACAAAACATGTTGATGTCATCAATCCCCTAAAGTGTTTTACGTGTCAAACTCCCATTAAAAAATTTCCCTCTAAATTTACATATGATGTCATCATTTATTTATTTATTTTTTATTTTTTCCCTTTCCTTTTATTTGCTAAGAATAAGGACTTAGTAGGTATGAAATTAAAAATATGAAACTTGACTTTCTCTTCCATTCTAATAATTAATAGATATAGATATTGATTTGCTAATTATATGAGTACTTCATTCCTTTAGCTTCCATTCTAAACGTTTAAGCTCAATAGATAATACAACATTAAATATATTTTGTCTAACTATCATTTTTGTACATTTTCAATAACATAGTAAATACCATGATGTAGTATTAAATATATAAATTTAAAAATGACTATGCACATTTTTTTTAAAATATATATATAACACATATTTTTTTCTTAAAAAAAGTGAGCAAGTTATTTTAAAAAATTATAAACAAAAGATATAGAAATATGGAGAATTTACTTATCATCACCGTACAACGCGCGAATACTAATCTAGTTATTAAACTAATGCGGAGTATTATGCATTTTACATTTTTACCGTTTAGGATAGGGGTGTAGATTAGTCAAATAATGTCAAAAAAAGGTAGCTTTTTATTTCTGACTGCTGCCACGTAATTACACGTGAGTAATAGTGAAATTACACGTATACTTTAAAAATCTGATGTAAATTCGTGTCAGCTTCAATTATCCACTTCATATAAGCTCTACACCTTTTCTCCCTTTTGACTCAAACCAAACACCCCCAAGTTTTTGTATTAAAGGGGTTTATGGTGGCGCCGTGGAGGTGTAGCTTTTAACTATAAAAAATGTTAGAAATTCTAACAATTATCTTCTCGATTACTCTTTATCATCATAAAATTATAGAAAATTAGAAGCAAATTAAATGTTTTTTAATTTCAAATGTGTTAAACGTTACTTATAATTTAGTTATTAAGCTCATTGCTAAATGTTGTAAGTTGGGAGGAACCCAATCAAAGATGGACACAGATAAGATTTTGATGTGTTAATAGTTTGTGGATAATTGAGGATATAAAGGTTTAAGATATATTTTTATAAATAATTTGGAGTACCTTTATTAGATGGAATTCTCAGTTTCTTGTAACCTTCATGTATAACTTTAACATTACACAATAACAAACAAATCATCTTGAATTTCCGATTCATATATATTGTTGTTATTTAAATGAGAATACTTTCTTCAAAAAAATAAAAAATAAAAAAAATGAGAATACTAGTTCACGAGTGTCCCCTTACGAAAAAAAGGCAATGACTTTGTTAGTCTTCATGAAAGCAGTTTACAATACAACATATATATAAATTATACATAGGCGGTACTCAAGACATATTTAATTTTTTTAATTTAATTGATAGGTGTGTCGCGTACCTAACAAAATATAACCTAACTGACCACTACTATGTAGCAGGGTAAGCAAGGGTCGAATCCCAAGAGACTAAGGTTCAAAAATAATTTAATAGACTCAAATTCCTACTAAGCAAGAATCAATAATGATCGATTAACTAAAGAACTAATGTATGGAAAATTCGAAAATAAACTAAAGAATATGAAGAAATCAAGTAATTAAAACATCCAAGATCTAGTATCACCACAATTACGCTTGATGCAATTATATTTCTACCCCTAACATACGATTCCAATTGAACGGGGAAAAGTAAACCCTAATAAATACCAAGGACCTCTCTCGAGTATCAATGGCTTCCCTGACATACAATCAAGCCTATTCTCATGGTATCATGCATATTAGAGACATTGAACACATTACTCTAACTTCCCAATTATCAAACCCAACTACTCTTGTGTTGAATATCAAACCCTAAATTGATCTACTCAAATCCGTTTAAACCCAACTCTCGCTGTGATAGAAACAATGGAATAATCACAATACTAAGATTACGTCTAATCTAGCATTGGCATAATTACAATCAATATAGCATAGCAATTGCAAAAGTCATTAGAGAATTTAAAGATTTAATTCATGCATCAGTCATAATTGGACTACCCTAGATCTTGGAATAGGGAATCTACTCACTCATAATTAAATAAATAATAACAATAATAATTGAAGAAAACATAATTAAGAAACAAGAGATTAAAAGAAAATACCGAATCTTGAATTGAATTGAAGGCGGAAAGTGTAAATCTTGAATCTTGAATTACAAAAGTAAAGAAAATAAAATAGAGAGAACTAGTTCTTAATAACGTAAAAATAAAAGGCTAGAATAAAACTTAATCCCCAAATAAAACTTTACTTAGTGTATTTATACTCCTAGAAAAACAAGAAAACGATTAAAAGACTTGGCGCACAATCTTCCCAGGAGGCAAGGACGTGCCCCTTGCTAGGCACAGACGTGCCTCTATGCGAGCATATCTTCCTTTGGCTACTGACTTCCAGGAACGGACGTGCCTGGTGCTGGGCATGGACGTGCCTAGTGTCGAAGCTCATAGCTGTGTAAACTGACTTGGAGGCACGGACGTGCCTCTTCTAGGCATGGACGTGCCTCCCCTACTGCGCGTATCACTCATCTTAAATCAGTCATAACTTCATATCCGGAGCTCCGTTTGAGGCGTGTAATATGTTGCTGGAAAGGTCTTCAAGTCTACTTTCCAATGAAATTTGAATCACTCCATTATCATTTGTATATCAAAAGTTATGAGCATAATAGTGAACATGTATCATATTTGTCAAGTATTTCATCAACGTTTTGCTTCATTTTCACTCAATTAGCTCCGTTAATCCTGAAATACATCAAAACAATGAAACTACCCATAAAAGCATCGAATCATCGAAACTAAACCAAATTACACCAAAATGGACTAAAACACTCGACTAAGCTAATAAAACCAACAAAAAATAAGCTAACAAATATGCACAAAACACGACTTATCATTAATATACCTTGTTTACGGAAAAAATATATGTGCATCTATATTTTAAAAATATTTCAAGACCCTTATGCATGCTTACAATTCAAAGACAACAATTTATTTAGTCTATTAAAATGTTTATAGTAGGGAAAATCGATTTTGTGACTTTCGAGTATATTATATAGATAGAATATACATCCCAAGAACTCACATAAAATTTGCCACACTCTTTTGATAGTTGATTGCACATAATCGACAAATCTTATAATTTTTAACTACTTATATGAAAAAGTGTAATTCTAAACTATATCTTAATTTATAGTGTTATTATATCACGATTGACAATACTATAGTAGGATTAGATCTCAAGTTTTAATTTACACCTTTAATCTTTATTAATTGCAAACATGTAGCTAGAAAAACGTACAACATAAAACGAATATATGAGTTAAGAATTGTCACTCCATAAAAATGGCCACTCGTTGTAGCAATCATATGTGCTTAATTAGTAACCTATTTTAGAAGGCATGAAACAAATTGGGTCATTATTGTGTTTATAACGCGTCATACATTTTTATGGGGTGGAGCCGTGTACTCGTGTAGCCGGTGCAATTTTGCAAGTACTAACGCGCTACATGCCTACATCGTTGCATTTGTAAAATATAATCTGATTTTTGGTGTTCATGTGTTATATTATATGGTTGGTGGTTGGTATTCCATGTATTTTTATGATGATGATGATGATACGATTGCACAAACCAATGTGGCATGTATATATCCTTATTAATAATTGTTGGGTGAGATCCTTATTAATAATGCTTTTAATTAATCACTCAAATTCTAAGGTATCATTTGATCTGATGTTTATCTTAAATCTTAAAGATTTTGTTTTATTCGACTTATTTTGTGGATCATTGATTTTATTTGTGGATCATTTATATATCGAGATTATAATTTTACAACTAATCAATCAAATGTTATTAATGAGATACTCCGATCATCCATATGCACACAATAGAAGAACTCTCATAAACAATTATTAAAAAAAATAAAATAAAATCTAAATGAAGATTTTACAAAAAAAATAAAGGAAAATATCGTGACCTATTTTATTGACCATTACCATGCATAATTAGGGGCATTTAAAAACTGGTGTGTACTTGAAAAATGGACTCAACTATTCCAAACTGGACCATAGAACATGAAAAGTTGAAAACAACCCAATATAAATTTCAAGAAAGGGCAAGCAGCCTCGCCGCCTTGCATGCGTTGGCTACTCTAGTAAGTTGAAAGATACAAGTATAATATTTTGGTTTTTTGACTAATTTTTGGTTTAATATAGCGCATATATTAAAACCTTTAAGGCATTTGCCCAATTGTTGTTGTAATTATATCTTTGACAAAGGTCCAAAAGCGATCCACTCGTATTCCGTCTACGCTTTAGACTGGTATTTATTGTTCATTAGAATCTTGTGTCTTCAAATTACCAGTGTTCGATATGATCCATGTTTAGATCGGTTAATCACCCTAATTCAAAATCAGAGTAATATCCAACTTTGACCAAAAACATTGGATAAAACAAGATTACCCATAACCCCCCCCCCCCCCCAAAAAAAAAGAAAAAAAAAAAAAAACACATATACACATGAGAACTACAAGTCCCTACTTGCAAAAATGCAAATTGGGATACAATATCTAGTTGCAAATAAAAAACAATACTACATAATATGTCGGTAAAATGAGCAAGAAACAAACTTTTGGCATCTCTATAAATAAAAGAGGTTATAAAACGTTGAGTAAATAATTTACTCGTAGAAGAAACCTTCCCTCTTCCCTTGTATACGTTACACATTTCCCATTATTGCAAGATCCACAACTTACCATATTTACAGTTGGTGGTCCATTTTTTTTTTTTTTTATAAAATTTCATATTTCATATACTTCCTCCTCTTGCGCCCACACCATCCTCCTCCTCTTCTTCCTTCCATCTTTCTTTCTCCCATTATCAGAGGAGGAAGAAAGATAATAAATGTGAGACGTACACTACTAAACTCATTAAGGTGCCACCCAAAAATTATTCATTTTTAATTAACAGAGGAAGTTGAAGGTTCTTAATTATCTTTGTAATTAAGGCGGTAATTAATAAGGGCGGTGATATAACAGTGAATTTGAAGTGGGTGGCACAGATTTTTATGGTTATTGTTATCAGATCTGCCATGGCTAATTATACCTCATTTTTCATCTTCTTCTTCTTCCTTATTTCAGGTACTTGTCATTCTATATTTACTCTACTTTCTAGCTTTGTTCTTTTTTTTTTGGCGTTGATAAAACTAAAACCCGAATGGTAGTGATGTAAACGGGATTTAATTTCGAGTATCATATATTTGTCCATATGGATTTAAAAAGTCATGTTTTTAAAACAGCATACTTCATCTTAAAGATTTTTTTGGAAATTTAAAATCGATGGGAAACTTTCTTCTTTGAATACACAAAGATTGCTATTGTCACTCTTCATTTTGTTTGATTTGCAATTTATTCATGATAGGGCATTTTTTAATTTTCTGAGTCTTCTGTCTCTGTTATTTTTATTTTTTCCTGGAAATTCTGTCAATATTTGTTTAAATAAGAATGAAAACTAGGCGAACATCTGATTCATCCTTTTGGATGGATTACACATTTTTTGTGACTCTTTTGATTGTGAAACATGGAATTTAGCTGCCAATTTTGAGAAATGTTTCATATGCAAACTTTATTCAATTTTAGTTGTTACTAGTTTTTTGCCAGTGGGGCGAGTTTGCCAATTGGTACCTTCCCTTTTCCTCATTTTGTAGGTTTTACTAATTTATGCAAAAAGTTATTGCTTAGTAAAAAAATATTTACGGTTATTTGACCAAACTAATAAAATATGCGGAATTTACACACTACGCGATAGAATAAAAAAAATTAAAACGAAAGAAAAGATAGGGTGAAATACGTAAATTAAACGTAAAGTATTACTGCAATATTCGTATACAAGTGCTTTGTAAATAGCTTTTTCCCAAAGCCTTTATGGAGGTTACTTTTTCATTAACAATAACTGTTGTGAGACGGTTTAACCTTCAAATGTGTCTTATGAGTAATCATTGAGTGAGAATCAAATTAGTTGTAGCTTAATTGTCAAGATTGAGATACATAATGCGTTAGGTTATTCCTCCCATTCATCATATCAATCAATTTTACTATTAAGAAACCCTTGAAAATAATTTAATATTGGTTGTATTTTGATTGCAGGATCAATTTTAAGAATTGATGGCCTAGGAGTGGGAATTAACTATGGGCAAATAGCCAACAACTTGCCCTCCCCAAGCCGAGTAGCTATCCTACTACAGTCCATTCAAGTAAGTCGGGTCAAGCTATACGATGCTGACCCGAATGTCCTTATGGCCTTCGCTAACTCGAATGTCCAATTCACAATCGGGTTAGGAAGCGAATACCTGCAAAACATGACCGACCCGTCTAAGGCCCAAGCTTGGATACAAACCCATGTACAACCTTACATTAGCCAAACCAAAATTACATGCATTGTCGTAGGTAACGAAGTTTTAGGTGGGAGTGACACACAATTAATGTCATATTTGTTCCCTGCTATGAAAGGTGTCTATTCTGCCCTTAAATCTCTTGGTTTAACTAACCAAGTAACTGTCACAACTGCCCATTCTACAGCCATATTGGCTACTTCTTTCCCTCCGTCTTCCGGGGCGTTTAAACCCGAGTTGGCCCAATATCTCCAACCCATGTTGAATTTCCAATCCCAAATCAACTCCCCGTTTTTCATCAATGTATATCCGTTTTTCGCCTACATGGGCAGCCCGAACGAAATATCCTTGGATTATGTCCTTTTTAGGCCTAACCAGGGTATGACCGACCCTGTCACAAACCTACATTACGACAACATGTTATATGCACAACTTGATTCAATCTACGCGGCTATTAAGAAAATGGGTCATACCGATATTGAGGTCCAAATATCAGAAACGGGTTGGCCGTCGAAGGGTGACCCAAATGAGGTGGGGGCCACAGTCCAAAATGCAGCAACCTATAATGGTAATTTGCTGCAAAAGATTGAGAAGCAAGAGGGTACCCCTGGTAGGCCTGATGTGCCAATTACAGTATATGTTTTTGCTCTTTTCAATGAGAACTTGAAACCTGGACCTTCTTCTGAAAAAAATTATGGACTATATTATCCAAATGGTAGCCCTGTTTATAATATTGGTTTGCAAAGAAGTTATCTTCCACAATTTTACATTTCTTCTGGTTATCATAAGAGATCATTATTGGTAAGCTAATTTTCTTTCATCATTCTATGCAATTTATTAGATTGTGATGATTTAAATGTGCATACATTTTTGTACATTGCTGAGATACTATGTATAGATTTTAGTTGTTTCATATGTGACCTAAAAAGGCTAACATATACGGTGTGATTAGATATGTTTGTACACGGACCTTGTGGTTAGGTGGTTTAGGTACGGAGTAACATCATATTACGTAATGTTGGTATTTTGGGGAACGTTATACTATGAAATATTGATTTCGGGGCAATCAAATTGGTTATGTATCAATTTTTTTGCCAACATTTGTTTGATGAGTACTCGATAATAGTTAGTTCAAATAGGGAAGAATTACCTTAATTAGCGAAAATCAGTACAGGCGTGCATATGACAAAGTAAATCTTTGGGTATATGTACAAATCACATGAAGTTTATGAAGTAAATTTCTAACACAAATATTTTTCTGATTTTACAGGACTTGTGTAAATTCACAATTTTGTCGAGCTTATTTACGGCGTTATTCATATTTGCTTGAGGAATGTTCACATTTCGTTTATACTAAATTTGGGGAAGGAGGATGGAATTATTAGAAAGGTAAGACTTTGTTATGCATTTTTAAGCCTTTACACAAAAATTTTCCTTAGACTTTTATTCTTTTTGTGACACTGATACATTCATACATAGGATTCCTAGAAGAATGTTAGTTTCATTTAATTTTTAGAATCATGTGATTAAAATTTATTGTTAATTAGACTTTTCTTGTAACACGCTACAATGCAGAAAAATACGCTTAGGATCTAGGAAATTATGTAAGGTTCGCCTTATACAACATACCTGCATGAATGATTGAGTACAGAGCAAAAATTCTAGCATCTTTTTCTTGTTTTGTTCTTTTGGAAATTTTGGTACTAGTGTATTACCATTTATCATAAAGAGTTTGGAATCATTAGTAATACGAAGTAATGAAACTTCCATAAATATTCCTATAATAAATTAAACGTGTCTTGATCACCATATGCAATCATGCATATAAATTCTTTTTATGATTGAATTTCTCCTGCCTTAACATAAATTAAAGTCTAAGATGGCTTATGACTGGAAAGAGACATCGTTGTATCACTGTCTATCTGTTGTCACGTTTGCTGAATTTCATGATACTTGTATTAATTTCCAAAGAACTTGCCGAATTTGAAACCACAACCTAATATGAATATATTTTTCCCTAATCGCCAAATTTGAACACAAAAAATGTGATTTAAGAGTACTATTTTCTTTTTCTGTGGCTTTTGACCGTGTGAAATTCTATTTCAGAAGCTGACCTTTTTGGCTTGACCTTTTTGCTTATTTTCCTAAAAGAGATATTTGCCTTGTCAACCTTAGGTGGATGCCAACCCTTTGAATATAATGTGGTTCAAATTCTAGCTAAGCTAGGTACTCTTATCTCTTATGGAGCATAGGTTAAAGTTGATATGTCAAATCAGTTGAATACTTGAATTAGGTCGGGTAAAATTGGGTTTAGTACAAATAGAATTTTCGAGTTGTTTTTGACCTTTATTCCGAATCATTTTTCAGCTGTATTTTATAACTATGCACGTTTTTGGGATCGATGAAATCATGTTAAAAATCCTAAGTTTCCGAGTCTTGATCATCATATTTCCTAAAAGTCTCTACGATAGATTGAGAACATTCTGATGATGCAAATCCTTGTCATCTCAATAGTGTTATTTCTGTACAAAAATTTGGAAGCATAGCTTTAACATTAGATAAATGTCATTATTGCTATGACAATCTTTATCGAGCTTGTACTCGTATAATGAAAATTGTCGTTATCTTATCGTTTAATTTGTCAAAAGGGAAAATAATTATCAACCACCCACAAGCAGATGTAACCCTTCATGAAGACAATCTTCAATGAACCAATATCAACCTTATGATGTTCATGTACCTTTCTTTCTTTTCCTTAGGTTAATTAATTAAATTATGCAAGTGAATAAACATGTAACATCAAATTATGCTGGAGCCACTACTTAAGTTAGTGGTGTTATAGCTAGATATCAACATCAAATGGATTAAGGGTGGGAGCCCATATTTTGTCATTGAAAAAAGTTTTCTTTTCCTTCCATCACTTTAGCAAGCTAAGATGGATAAGATTAACACCTATTTGGCTGTATTGCCTGTTTGTATATGGTCAATATGGATCCGAGGCAATATAGTAAGTTTAAACTTTTTTTGAATGAATATCTATGTCAAAAGTATGATGGCATAAGAGATGTTGATAGAACTTACTTCATATAAACCTACAGCAAATAGGTCATTCGGTTTCATATCGTATATGGGTCAATTGTCAATCAACTTATTATGATAATAAAGGCTCGTTAATTATATATGTCACGATAATTTCCGATCTAGATTCTAGGCTATGATCAATTCAATTTTGCCTTTGTTTTGTCACCTTACCTGAACTTATCAACCTTATTCCGAGCATTCCTAAAGAAGTTGCCCGATGATGATGTACTGGCTGTTTAGTTTTGCTTTACACATTATGTGTCTACATGTCAATTGGCGTTTACCTAGGAATGAAAAGCCACCAACAACTAATTGGTTAGCTGCCATATCAAACTGAAACCCAAAAGAATCAAAATCCCATCTTTAGTGTATGTATACCACTGTCATATGGTCTGATTTTTTCCCCCACATTGATAACGACTCTCAGACCCAAAAAAAAAAAAAAATAGCAGCAACATATCTTTCTGAGCAGCCTTGAATCACCTACCTAGTAAGAAAATTAGATGCTTTTCTTTTAGACTTTTAGTGAAAAGTTTTAATTATCATGATAAGTGATAATGATATTTAGTGTACTAATCCTTTTCATTCATCCAACTTGATGTATGTGTCCCTGAAATTGTATCTTCGCGCATCAATGTTGCCAATATTGATTTTTCTCGTTTCTTTGAGCATCATTCGTGATTTCGATGCATTGTAATAATTGTCGATTAGATCATATTAATCAATTACTGTATGTACTTTCAAGTAGATTAACATACTATACAAAGTTCTTATCTTTTTTCATTAACTTTTGTCAAACATTAATTAAACTGTACTTTTTTTGTATATCTGCAGGGGAGGGTACAGTAGAGGAAGGCTACAATTTCCAATACATGTGAATTAACAAGTGCAGAACAGTTTTTTTTTTTCCCCCTTCTTTTTATTTGAAGTTCATCACCAGATTCATTGCCCAGAAAGCTTAGATTAGCAGACATTATTTTACTGAAACACTTAAAATAAGGTCCTTAATTTTTTTTTTCCTTAATTAGAAATGCAGACATTGCAGGATTTATATTAATAGTAATAGTGTCATTAACATATATTATAAGCAAATTAATTCTCTTGGCAGCCATCTTATGACACCAAGCTTACCTTTAGCTTAGAATCTTACATCTTTTGATACTTGTAATAGTTAAGTTAATGAGAAAATTAGTGGTTTTTTTTATTGTTAAAGTCAATTTTGTTGTTCTTATCTGATCTAAGTTTTCTACTGTATTTTTATTTTTTTGGACATTTTTTGCTAGGGGGAGTTACTTTGTATAAACAGCTTTTTCTTTGATTAGTGAGAAAAAAGGATGCTTTTATTAGGCAATTAAGCAGATATAAACCAGCTGTTTATGGCTAATTAAAAATCGAAAGCATGATTAGGTTCGAGTTTCTTCATTAGCAAGCTTTTCTCAGTTTCTTTCCTAATAAAAAAGTAATCTACTTTCTACTAGTAAGAATGAAGTAATTTTTAAGTAATCTAACTGAAGGACTTTTCATGAAATTTGGGCTAAGCCAGAGTTTGAGTAAAACTTAATTATGGGATAATGTTTGAAAATCAATAAAATGAAAAACAGAGAATTATATTCTGGAAGATCTAAATCACCTGAAGTTTTAAAATTAGTTTGCCTACAAATTTGGTAACTATTAGTCCCTCCCGTTTTAAATGGTTATTCCATTTCTCTTGGGCCTATACCGATGCTAATATTTGATCAATAATATCTTTAATTATTAATAAGTATAAATTCTAACAATTGAAAATTAATAATCTATTTATTGAGACGATTCCAACAATTACCCACAAGACTATTTTTTCTTATGTACAAGTCACAAACATTAGTTAAAATAGGACAAATAAATAATACAAAAGGTAAAAATAAAACAAGTATTTAAAAACGGAGAGAATATATAGTCTTAGAAGAGTTACAACTTACAAGCATGTGGTTTGAATTATGCTATTATAATTTTGGTTGACAAGTAGCGCACGTGCTAAGCATATGAAGTGTCTTCACTGTACTTCCCTTAAATTTTGGATTTCAATAATGTAGCATGTGCAATGTAGGCAATGTATTTAGGGATGAATAATGGTCACATGCATCATGTACTTCTAGTTCTAAACCATGCATAATGTAGAATTGAAATTAATAGTCACTTATACTAAGACGATTGTGCTACTCTGTATTATAATAATGCCTCTTATATTATGGTCTTACCATAGCAACAAATCATTTTGTCCGATTAGTCAAAAGCATAATTCATGTAACTTATACCGATTTACATCACACGTGTCACTACTGATAATGTATCACATAAAAACAATTCTTTTGACAAAACGATAAAAAACAATTCGTTAAAAGCTGATGACAACCAGGGTAGGAATTATGTTTCTTGCTAAAAAAAAAAAAATTGGTTTGGATTCTATAATTAAGAAAACAAGTATACTATATAGAAAACAAGTATACACTATTGAATAGTAGGGGTGAGCAAAAATTCAGGGTACCCTGACCTGAAATCAGATCCTGCTTGGAACGGTAGGTTCCAGAATTGGAACCTGTAGATCAGGTTCCGGTTCCGGGTAATAAAATTGGGAACCTGTTGCAACAAGTTCCGGTTCCGAGTAATAAAATTTTGGACCTGAAACCTATAGGGTACCCTGTTAGTACAAGTTCCCTGTAGGGTACATGAAATCGGGACCTATCATTTAAGCCCAAATATAAAAGCCTATATCAAAATTATATAATTAAGTAAGCCTAAAAAAAATCCTAAGCTCATACATCATTTCTCATTTCCTACACAAGCCGTCATCGACTTCTCTCCCTCCTCTTGTTCATTTTTCATCTTACTCTTACAGGTTTAATTAATGGTATTGATATAAGTATTTGTAATTTTGTATTAAATATACTAGACAATCAGTGTTGGTTTGTTATATTTGTATTAAAATTGTAAGCTTTTATTGTGAACATCCATTTTATTTTATTTTTTTAAAATTTTTGTAACAATTCATTTTTATTTTCTTTGTAACAATTTTTAGGAACCTGTTGAACAAGTTCCAGTTCCAGTTCCTATTTTTAGGAACCTATTGCAACAGGTTCCGATTCTGGGTCCTGAGAGTTTTACAGGGTAACTTGCTACGCTCACCCTTACTGAATAGTGATTAAGGACAGTTTACACCAACAGTGGGCCTCTTCATATGATCTTGGGCTAATCATTTTGAAATTTCACACCGGCCCAACTTCCATTCAGTAATTGCATCTTGAGAAATGAGGAATGAGTTACTAGTATGTATCTTTAAGTCCATTTTAAGGGGTAAATTAATGTAATTTTCGGTCATAAAGAATATGTAACGATAGTCAAAAAAGAATTTGTGTAAATATTATGTTGCTGTATGTAATGCATTTTGGACTCCTCTTGTAAATACTTATTGGGAATGACCCTAACTAGGGGAAATTAGACAATCTCACAATCGATATATCTATTACGAAATAATGTTAGTATAAGTTGTTCGCAAGTAGCTAGAATATGGAGTAACTTAAGACAATGTATGATCATACTCCTAACTCCATTCTAATAGATGGGGGAGTGTTCATCCTAATTAAGATAATTACAAATCATACACAAAATTGGTTAAGATTAAGGTATACAACCCCACTATCATGATACCTAAGTCCTATAAATGACTATGTCCCCTGTAATTTGTACACACCAATAAAATGTTGTAATTCTACTTTATTGCAAAATTTATATCTGAGGCTATAATTAAGCTACATATCAATCATTATTTATTCCTGATAATTTCCACAAAAAAATTATCTCAAGTTTAATTAATTCATGACCTTTTACATTCTTCCCATCCTCCTTTTCCTCACCTGCTTTCCAATAACCACCATGTCACAAACTCTCAAACCCTACATATCTTCTCCGAATTTATCAAATCCTTATAACAAAGAGCCTATATCATTTTCCACCCGAGTGTATAATAGACCTCGATATATCAACCAACATTCATCAAACACGTCGGCATTTTACTCTTCAAAACTTCATTTAGATGTACACCCAAACCCTGGCCGTGGAATAATGATGGTGGTAGGGATAGGCAGGAATAGCACATCGTCACCAATGCTTATGACCGAACTTATAGTTGACACTGCGAGTGGCTTCACCTGGCTACAAGGTTTTCCTTGTGACTCCTGCTACAAACAAGGCGACTTCCCATACTATAATAGCTCTGCCTCTAAATCCTTTGATCCTGTCTATTGCACCAATGAAATCTGTCAAATCGCGCCTTATGAGGTTCATGCCGGGTGTAGTGACTTATCACAACCCTCATATGAACCTTGTTCCTATAATGTTCAATATTATGATAGGACTAACTCGACTGGTGTCATTGGTACCGAGACATTTTACTTCTTAGACGCGTCTTTGCAAGGGAGTGTGCCTGTGGAATTTGTACCATTTGGGGTTGGTACGTCAAATTATTTTCCTAGACAAATATTATCTTCTCCAGGAGTGGCAGGTTTTGCACGCGGATATGGAACCTTACTCAATAAGCTCGGAGTGAAGAAATTCTCTCATTGTTTTCCTCGCGATGAGGATGGCACTGGCACAATGAGTTTCGGTGAAGAAGCTATAATCAAGGGGGTTAAACTAGCCTTAGATGGTGAATCTGAACGCTATGAGGCTCTCTTGACCAATTTGTACATGTCAGGAGAGCGCGTTGTGGTGGAATATGACTATGTCTTGCCTGCGAATATGGTGTTTGACACGGGAACTAGTTGGACTCATCTAACCCCGGAGTTAGTAGACGCAATTGTTGGTGTCATCAAGAATGTACTAAGAAAGTATCAACCTCGGAAATGGGGTGATAGCGAGCTTTGCTATAACATGACCGATTTAAGTTATGTTAGTTTGGATGAGGTAGCTAAGGTCACTTTCGAGTTTAACTATGCAACTAGGATTGATCTCTTCTCCTTTAATCTTTGGCTTCGATTTAATGATATTAATTTGATTTGCTTAGGATTTGTTAAAGGAGAGGAAAATGTTTTCGGTAACAATTTAATGAGGGAGATGAATATAGGTTGTACGCTTGAGAAAGATGACTTTGCTATGTATTTCAATCGTCAGCATTGTTTGAAATGATTCATTACAACAAGAAGTTTAAATAAGTTTTACAAAAAGGTTAGTAATCTTGTGAAGTGATAGAATTTTTTTTGGTTGTATATGACAGATACGAGGTAATATGTTTTAGAGTTCGGATTAATAGAGTTATAGTGGCTATATTTTTATCATTGCTTTTGTAAACCCGTTCACAGAAATATGCGGCAAGTTTAGAAAAAAGTGTGAGTTCTTAAGCCCAGACTCATAGACGGACATCATTCTTGTAATTTTGATGATAACAATTACAAATCATGCTCAAAATCAGTTTAGATTAAGGTATGCAACCCCATAATCATGATTTCTAAACTATATAATTAAGTCACCTGTATCAGATTTATTATAAACTGCTCTCTTATTGTCTTTGGATTCGACATAACAAAATGAATTTGATTTGCTTAGAATTTGCTAGAGCAAGACTTAATTTGAATATTTTCGGTAACAATCTAATGACGGAGATGAATATAGGATATACACTTGATGAGCATGACTTAGCCATGTATTTTAAACATCAACATTGTTCGAAATAGAATTTAACGAAGAGAACGAAGTTGCACGAGTAAGTTTACCTGGTATATATAGAATCAAAATCAGAATGACAAGTTATAGATTAAACCCGAATTTGACCGAATCCAACCAAACAAACATGTTTACGTCACATTTTACACCTACCTAGCCTATTAGCAACTACTCAACATTCATGCTTCCCTCATGCAATTAATCAAAGATGCCTAGATTCATTTCAATTAGCTAGAGGTATATTAGGAAACAATTCATTACAAATGGGAAGTGCAACAGACCATACATCGTAATATAACAAATGAAGTTTATGATTATTGATTCAGAATACACATGATCTAATGTACATATAATCATTAAATCGATTCTTTATTCACAAAGCCAAGGTCTTGACCCTTATTGAGATTTGAACTTTATGTTGCTATAATATGTATGTAACTAAGCAAACAATTATATATACCGTACAAAATCAAAGAAACCTAGCTAATGATACACAAAAATTTATGAAAAACTTATTTCATGGCTTTCCCAACTTTATTCACCATCCTTTTCTTTCTCATCTTCATTCCCACCATCTTCTCCCGAACTCTTCAATCTCCTCTATCTTCACCAACACTATTATCTTCATCTATCTCCTTTTCCACCCATGTACACCATAGACGTCGACAACGATACATCAACACACAACCATCAAACACATTATCAACATCCTCCTCGAAAGTCATCTCAGATACATATGCAACCAATGAATATTTACTAGTGATCCCGGTCGGAATGGGTCACAATAGCACATCCTCACCAATGCTCAAAACCGAGCTCATAATTGACACCGGCAGCAGCCTCACTTGGGTGCAAGCTACTCCATGTGACTCCTGCTATGAACAAGGCACATTCCCATACTACAACCGTTTTGCTTCTGAAAGCTATGAAGCAATTAATTGTAAAGATGAGATTTGTAAAGATGTCCCTCGAGCTTCGCACAATGAGTGTCTCGACTTACCCTGGGACTCAAAGGAGCCTTGCTCGTATGATACCGAATATGGTGATGGAACTACCTCTAGTGGTGTCATTGGTACCGAGACTTTTTACTTTCAAGACCCGTATGTTGGGTTTGGGAATGAGCCTGTGACGTTTGTGCCTTTTGGGTTAGGAACGTCGAATCATATCCCTCAATGGGTTAACGCGAGTACCCCTGGCATTGCAGGTTAGAGCCGTCTTAAACACTTTGGGTACCTTTGCTAATTTTTAAAGTTGGACACACGAAAAAGTTTACCAATTATGGCTTGAGTGCAGCTAACAACACGACCATAAGCATTATTAAATCAATGTGCCTAAGATAGACCTTAGGTTTAATGACCCCCTTAGCAAATTGTACACTATTTTGAACATACATGTCATTAGCTGGTCATGTTGCAGGTCTCATGCGTGGTCCTGGAACCTTGATCGACAGGCTAAAGGTGAAGAAATTCTCTCATTGCTTCTCCCGCGATGAGGATGCCACAGGTATGTTGAGCTTTGGCGAAGAGGCCAAGATCATGGGTGCCAAAATTGCCTTGTTAAGTAGTTCGCAATACTACATGGCTCGCCTTACAAATGTATATTTGGCAGGAAAGTGGATTCCGATGGAAAATGATGTCTTGCCAACTAAAATGATGTTTGACACAGGATTTACTCATAGTTTTCTAGACCCGGATATAATGGACGCAGTTGTGGAAGCCATTAAGGATGCTCTAGGAAGATACCAACCTCGAAAAGTTAAGGGCTTTGAGCTTTGCTATGACTTGACCCAGCTATATTCTGTTAGCTTGGATGAGGTAGCTAAGATCACTTTTGAGTTCAATTATACCACCGATATTCATATGTTTTCTTTTCATCTTTGGGAACGACAAAACGAGAATCAATTGATTTGCTTAAGACTCCGTAGAGGACCCCCAAAAGAAAACATATTTGGTAACAATCTAATGCGAGAGGTAAACATAGGATATACTCTTGACGAAGATGATTTGGCCATGTATTTTCATCGCCAGCATTGTACGTAAGAGATGATGTAATAATTAGAATCGTCGCAATCAGTAGTGCATAGTAGTTGGATAACATAGAAGCACCATTGTACCAGAATATGTTACAGAGTAGATAATTTTAGGTAAGCTATCTAAAGTAACTTATCGATCAGGTAGCTAGCCATACCGACATGAACTGCTGAATCAGATCTTGTGCATATGTAACCTTTAATGAAGACAATCTTAACATGAACTGATATCAACCAAAGAAATTTTTCTGAATTTTCCCTCGTCTGATAAATTTCCGATTCTTTTATTCTTTCAGATAATGGATTAAACAGGCAAGTAAATAACCTGCTGTAACAATTAATCTAACCGAGCAAGCAATTGAAGAGCGTAACTTCATTCTGATGAATAATGGCGACTCTGACTGGAAACTCTCATACGAAAACCAACATGCAGTACATCAATTGATTCTAATATCTAATATATACTTCATATAAGTCAGAGTCTGATACAGCAAGATGGTCTCCCAAAATATTTATTATTCAGATTCACATTTTTACAACAAAAAAACTAATGAAAATCTCCCTAAAATAGCCTAACTCCATATACAGCAAAGATTCTAGTAAAAAAATAATACATATACATCACAAGCTCCAATAAATTAAATACAACAACATGAAGTTACATTTAATTAATTGTATGTTACAAGATATGGAAGAACCATTGTCATGAAATCATCATAGGTGATTGTAGCAGAACCAGTGTAGTTTGAATCCTTCTCTTTGAATTTTTCCGTCAAACCCTGTAATTAGAAACAGGGTAAAACCTTGAGTATTCAGAAATCCCATGATAAACAACTCAAACGACGCCAGCTATCAGCATTATTATACAGTATTTAGTAATCAAATTATCATTGTTCATAGCAAGAACTCTGTTCAAGCACCCGAAACTGTTAGACATTGTGTCCTTAAGTAAGAAAGCAAAGGGATTATATTCCTACCTTTACAACCATTCCACACCTGCAAATCCGACAACAAATAAAATTCAAGATTAGAAAGAAGCCAACCCTATATAGAGGAAAAACATTAGCAGTCAGTGCCAAGAAGCCTTACTCAACAAAGCTGTCAAAATCAAGCCGAACTCTTTGGCCACCTCCGTTGTCGTAACGGGAGATCAAAAGTTGAAGTACAGAAGGAGGGACAGCGTATCCCAGACTATAAAGAGCATCCCGTAATTCCTCCAAATCAATTTTCCCACTTCGATCTCTATCAAATCTCTCAAATATTGCCTGAAAGCAGAAAAATTCATACCATTCATTTCAAATTTGCTGCCAACATCTCAATGACATCCACAACACTAGACACAAACCAAATAAGCATTCATACATACTAGGCCAAACAATCCAGTTGTAACAAATATGCATTGTTCTTATTTCTTAAAGGCCAAAAAATCCATTTGCAACAAATAAGTACTTCGAAACAAGATTAAACTGTAATGTTCAGCTCTAACCATTGTTCTTATAGGCCAATCAGTACTTCGAAACAAGATTAAACTGTAATACGCAGCTCTAAGCATTGTTTTTAAAGGCCAAACAATCCAGCTGCAACAAATTAGCATTGTTCTTAAAGGCCAAACACTACAGTTGCAACAAATAAGCACTTCAAATCGAGATTAAACTGCATTGTGCTGCTCTAAGGATTGCTTTAAAGGCCAAATTAGATCCACATATTCTAATTATTAGTCCACATGTTTTGCAATTCATCCGTCAGCATCCTTAGCAACAAATTAAGTTCAAAAACACATGTATTTATTATTTTTATAGGAAACAAAATACTTACACGCCATTGACCTAGACAACTCCACAATGCAGCAAATTCACCGGGACCTGCATCAGCCATTCAACTCCCATTAGCCTAAACATACATCATTAGTAATTTAATCATAACTAGAAACTCAAAAAAGTGAAATTTTTATACCCAAAAAAAAAAAAAAAAAAAACATTGATGCAAAACAACAAACACTTGGTGGGCAATATGAAAAAATTTAAAACATACGAATTTTCATAGATAATTCAGTTGGGTTCTTGAACAAAAAGATAAGAAGACGAATCGTGCTAAGTCTGAACCGATGATAACTAGAAGAAAGAGCGTTTTGAAGCTCAGAATCGTCGATAAAACCGCTATTATCCCGGTCTACCATCTGGAAACTTCGAATGATTTCCGGGTCAGTACCCGGTGGAAACGGGCTGTACCCATAACCTGGAGCTCCGCCACCACCTCCGCCGCCGCCGTAAGGAAGAAGAGTGGAAGTGGGATTTGGAGTAGGATATGATTGGTGGTTAACATGGTAGCTCTGAGCTGGTTCTGGGTAACTGTAATTAGGGTTATAATTACTGGGATTAGAGTTGTAATTACTGGAATTATAGGAAGAAGATGAAGATGATGGATTTGGCATTGGAGGTGCTGAAGGATTGAATGAAGACATTTTTTTCAATTTGGGGAAGAAAATAGAAATGAAAGGGATAATAAAGAAGAAAGAGTAGCGCGTAAATGAGGCTTGTGTTGATTGTATTGGTGTCGGCCGAGTTGGCGGTGGGTTAGGTGCTGGTAAAAGGGGTGAGCTAACCGGTAGCCGGTCAAAATTTTAGAAACAGGACTTGAAATTGGTTGGTAATGAATTATAGAATTTGAAATTGAAATTGAAAATAGTAAAACTGTAAATAAATCAACTGATAATATACAAGTATATGGCGAGTTGGTTGAAGCCCTTTCAAGGTGATTTACTAAATTAAGGAATGAGGGGTTTGAGAAAACTATGTCAAATTTGTCAACTTATTTCTTTTTTAAGAGATTGTGACAAATTTGAGTTGAGGATATTTGGTCAGCCTTATGACAAAATAAAATTGGTTAGAAAGTTCTATACGACCTAGATATAACTTGGTCATTAAGAATTATGGAGTACAAAATATGTTATTAGTGGAAACTCGTTTTCTTGTGACTTTCTAATTAAAAATATTTCATTGATTGTAATCTTTATATTTAATAATTAATATTCTCTCTGTCCCTTATTAAATAGTTTACTAATTTTAAGTCCCAAAATAATAGTCTCATTTGCTTTTTTCAACTACCATTAATATTAATTTTTTACCAAAATTCTCTCTAATTTGCAACAATATTTATGCAAGTTTAACTTTCCCATGTAATATTTGTTTTTTCATGTACTTTTATTACTTTATATCTCTATTTTTTTGCATACTCAATGTAAATATACCTTTTCAATGTATTTTTACTATTTTTTTATTTATGTTTATTAATTCCCGTGAAAGTGTCCATAAGAGACTATCATTAAGGGACGGAGGGAGTACTTGTTAATACTTTTTATTTATTATTTTTATGTTTCTTATCAAACGTAAGATTTTTAACACTAGATTCAGGACATAATTTAAGAAAATTTATGTTGTGTGTCAAAATTTGGGATTTCAAAATAAATAAAATAAAATAAAAAAGTCAATATGGAAATTTTATAATACATGAAAAGAATTAACGGAATTCATAATTTAAAAGTGAATCAAATAAAGTAATTTTAAAGTATGAGTAAAAAGCTTGATATTAGGCTTCAATCATTATCTAGTATGTTGTTGATATTTTCTTATGTCCGTGTAGAGAAATGACATGGGGCCCACAAATAGACCTCACTTAATTATTGGTCAATGTATCTAATTAAAAACCCTAAAGATGGGCACAAGGCCGCACAATTCAGGTCATGGAGGCCTACATGTTATGCTAACAAGTTTTGTGGTTAACTTGGATCGTGTCTAAAACGAGTTAAGAAAAAGTCATATAATGTTGTGTCTAGCTCATGTCATTCATTTAAAAAAACAGAGCTTATGAATATATCAACTCATATATTGTATCATGTCGAGTCATGTCATGTCAGCAGATCCCTTTAGACCTTAGTAATTGTAATTTAACTCATAATTTATACCGAATCGTGTCATGTCGTGCTTGATCGGCTCGCTCTTGTGTGTTGTGTCGGCTCGGCCCTTGCCCACCTCTATACAACCCACTATTAACCCAACTTAAAAAGCCTACTAAAAAAATGGCGGGAATTGACAATCCTTCTTTAACAGAACAACCGAGTAACTCAACTGAGCAAAACAAAAAAAAGGAAAATCAAAATGACAAAGGAGAAAGCGGCGGCAGCGGCAACGGCGGTGGCGGCGCCGGAGGCAGAGGAGTTGCCGAAGACGATCGTACGGCGAGTCGTGAAAGAGAAGCTCTCTGAGATCTCCACTGACGGCTGCGATGTTACCCTTCACAGGGAAGCTCTCATTGCCTTCTCCGAAAGTGCTCGCATCTTCATCCACTATCTATCCGCCACGTACTCTTTCTCTCTCTCTCACTCTTTCTTCCTTCCTTTTTCTCTCTCCAGTTGATTGATTTCTTCAATTTGATGGTTTTGATTAACTAATTAGTTGTTACTGATGCTAGAATTGTTAGGGTTTTTGAAAAATTGAAAATGTCGAAATTGATTGGTTTCTGGGAGATGAGTTAATTAATTGATTGTAAATTATGCAATTGTAGGATGTAAGTTTGCGCATTTATGATTTTTTTATGCAAAATATATCTTAAAATGTAGGTAATTTGACCTAGCTTTATTAGGGGTAGCTTGACCTAGTTTTGTTTGTTGTCTGGTCTTCGAATCATATTGTGGTTTCTTTGTGTTGTTCGTATGTGTAACTTGGTTATATTAAGAATTGTCATCAAAAGAGTAACTTTCAGAATTTTGGGGAGAGTTCTTTGTAAACCTGTCTAAAGTGGGAAATGGAAAGTATGTCTTGTTGAAATTATTCGCGGTGTTGTTTCTCGGACTTGGGATTTGATTGCTTTGCTGATGGATAGTTTGATATGAATATGTGTAGGGCACATGACATATGCAGTGATTCAAACAGGCAAATTATTAATGCTGATGATGTGTTGAATGCTCTGGAGGAAGTTGAGTTTTCTGAGTTTATTGAACCACTGAGGGCCTCCCTTAATGGTTAGTGGCATTTTGTGCTTATAGATGACGTTTTGCTCGTTTCAACCAAGAACTTCTCATGTTTCGACCATCTTTTGATCTTTGCTTTACACTTCAATATGGTTTTTCAAGGAACCTCTAAAAATCTGATGCAGATTGGCAGGAATAGATGTTTGTCCATTTATGAGATAACCTGAAGGATGAGAATTAATTCTAATACAGGTGGACAAAAGAAATTAGAATTAAAACTGATAAGTAGACAAATTTATGATAAGCTCTATAGTGTTACTTTAGTGATTTTTCCGTGTGTATTCCTTATCACTGCCATATGGCCTGGATATGTCTGGAAACCAGATAAGCTTATGTCCTGCTCCTCTTTCTATTCATAAGCCCTTTTTTTGCTGGTTCCTCAACTGTTCATCTTAGGTTGCTATTGAATTGCTTGATTATAGTATACAACAAAAGGTTTTATATTTTTTTGTGCCTCAACTGATTCAATTCGGAATCAAAATTCTTTTTCCTTCCAGGACCCAACCAACAGACCCCCAAAAAGTACATTGAACGATATGAATGGAATTCTGTAACGGCTCAGGTCTGAATGTATCCTAGATCAAATTGCTTACTGTGTGAGGGTAACACTAACCCCTCTAGTCCCAAGCTACAGATTGTTGCTCTATGCCCTATCTGTTGTGAAGTTGTATGTTCATTTGCAGTTCTACTGCTAATATTGAAATGGATTAAGGATTTAAAATAATCTTTTAGCATTTAAAAATGTATTATTAGTACAAGTTTTTGGGGATTCTAACCAGCTTAATTTCAGAATTTAGGAAAAAAACTGCTGTAAAGAGAGCAGGGTCAGCAATGGCAAAAGAAGCAAACAAGAAGAGGAAAGCAGATGAAGAGACAGCTACGGAAAATGGCAAAGCTGGAGAGACAGCTGAGGAAAATGGCGATGATGAAGAGACAGCTGTGGAAAATGGTGAAGATGAAGAGGCGGTTGTGGAAAATGGAAAAGATGAAGACAATGAAGATGAAGATGAAGACGAAGATGAGGAGGAAGCTAGTGAAAACAAGGATGATTCTAATGATAGTTGAGTATAATTTCTGCTATACATATCACTTCATGTCTGGCTGACTTTCCAGCTAACACATGGTGTGACATAATTAGGGTGGAAATATAAACGGAGCTGACTAGCATGAATGAAATGTTACATTAGTGTGCTCGATGTTACTTTTCCTGTATAACTAAGGGCACTAGTCTGATGGGAGCGTATAATGTGCATCCTATGTTTAGGGGTGAGTTATTTCTGAAATTCAGAACTCATAGAAATTGTAACCTGTCGTTTGCCTCAGTAATCAATTTGTGTTTGCTGTTAATCGATGTCTACAGGCACCTGTGTGTTTATGCTTATTCAGATGTTAGAATATATAAATATAATTATAGGAAACAATGAAAACAATGGGGATGTAAGGAGCAAACTTGTGATGGCAAATTGGCAATAGGCAAGGATGGTGTTTCGGGGTTTTCTGATGTCCTGCGGGAGAGTTACAATTCCGAGACTGGAACCGGACGCCTGTACCTGCAAAACAACGGAGACTCCTGGTGGTGGGAGCTCCGCCTCCAACGGTCAAGCTAGTACTTGATTAAGGAGTAATTAATGCGGAAATTAAAGTGATTGGGTCTCTCTAGGTGAGAGTGTTTAGTGTGAGTTTTTAGCGTAATCAGCCTGTAACTCTGTAATCAATGTGTAATCTCTGTAATCCCCCCTTAATGAGGATTAAGGGAGGTATTTATAACCTTGGGAAACGTGCCAATCCTAGGTTTAGGTTAACCTAGGGCTGATTGGGCTTCCCTCGGAAGTTGGGCCTGGGTGGCCGGTTTCTCCATTAGGCATGGAGTATGCCACGTGTCATGACATAATAGGTCCAAGGTGGACGAATAATCGCGTGTCACGTGGCAAGCCCTGACAGTTCCAACTAGGGGACACTTGGCAGGACCTGATTGGCCCATGTGGCGCATTCCGATTGGTGGGAGCAAAATCCCCTAATCATTTGCCCCTCACAGGTGGCACGTGACTGGTCACGTGTTACCTGTGACAGGTGTCGAACTGTAACAGGCGATGGCCTGCTACAGGTGTCACTCGGCGAAGGGCCGAGAGTTTCTCCCGCCCAAATTTTGAATTCTGGAAGTGACCCTTCGCCTTCTCACTTCGCCTATATAAAGGAGTGTTGACTTCAGTCATTTTCACACTTGAGAACTTTGTGAGAGAACATTCGGACCTCTGAACTTGCTCTGACATTTTAGACTTTTCTGCCTACCGCCTGCTCTGACAAGCCGACTGCAAAGGATTTTCAGAACTTCATCAATCGTCACTCGTTCAGGTAACTGTCGGTTCTCTTACTCTTAATTTTCTTTTTATTTTTTTTTTATTTTTTTTGAAATGGCACCACGGAAGCACACGACACGACCTAGGTTAGTGATCAGTCGGTCACCGGGGACGGCTGAATCTAGGACTAGAGTGCCGCCTGCCCTTTTCCGGACCCATCTTTGTCCTTTATACAAAGTCCGACTGTATCTGTGTCTATGCAGAGCATGATGGCCAGAACAAAAAAGATTGTCAGGATCTCAAATTCAGACGGCTCCTCTCGCAGGGTGCCGATTAGTGAAACATCTGACCAGGCGCCAGATGTGGAAGTGAAACAAAGCGGCTTGGAAGCCGGCTGCTCTGAGGGAGGAATCAAAGTGACCCCTTCCCATTTCTCAGTTGA